AAGACATTATATGAGGTTAAGAAATTATTTTTTAAACTGACTGCCTGCTACACCAGTACCATTTTTGTAAGCAATATTGCACTTCTATGTGAAGGCCAGCACATCAAGTCTCAAAACTAATCATGTATTGTGTATTCATCAAGAAATGTCTGTACTTGAAAAACTCTGGAGAAAGTATTCCTTAAATCATAAAGAAATATTATAACCAAGTATAGCAGGCTAATTTTTAAGTTGGTAATTGTGTATGGCCTGCGAAGGATGTTATAAATACCCACATGGCTTGGTAGAAAAAAGGTTTCCCACCCTGGTCTATAGGTATGTCACAATCTAATAGAATGTTCAGTAGGCAAAACTGACCATTAAGCCTAAGATCAAACTTAAATGGTGCTGCTAAATTCTTGTATGGCTTCTTATTAAATCACATCTTATTAATGTACATCCGTTATCTCACTGGAGAATGGTTGGACCCTCAGCACTGCCTCATCATCATCTTTCCTTTCTCTCAGTCTCAACGGGCTCCCCTTTAACCAGATGTTTCACCCTCGTTTTGAGTAAATTATATGCAGTAATAGCAATGTATTTTGAATAGAAAGTTTTGAAAAGACATTATATGAGGTTAAGAAATTATGTTTTAAACAGACTGCCTGCTACACCAGTACCATTTTTGTAAGCAATATTGCACCTCTATGTGGCCAGCACATCAAGTCTCAAAACTAATCATGTATTGTGTATTCATCGAGAAATGTCTGTACTTGCAAAACTCTGGAGAAAGTATTCCTTAAATCATGAAGAAATATGATGACCAAGTACAGCAGGCTAATGTTTAAGTTGGTAATTGTGTATGGCCCGCGAAGGATGTTATAAATACCCACATGGCTTTGCAGAAAAAAGGTTTCCCACCCTGGTCTGTAGGTATGCCACAGTCTAATAGAATGTTCAGTAGGCAAAACTGACCATTAAGCCTAAGATCAAACTTAAATGGTGCTGCTAAATTCTTGTATGGCTTCTTATTAAATCACATCTTATTAATGTACATCCGTTATCTCACTGGAGAATGAGAGAAAACACTATATATCTGCCTTTTTGATACTAAAATGATCATACCGTGCAAATTTCCCCTAAATTCCCTGATGTGAAATTCAGAGCTGAACTTAAGAAGTGAAGTCGCTTTTTGTACAAATATTTCACCAGAGCAGTGATCTGAAGGCCAGTGCTCAATTGTGGTAAGTGTAGCTCAAAAACACAAAAGCCCCCTTCTTATGTTTGCATCCGGGAAAACTGTCACATTTCCCCCCCACATTTCTTAGCTTCACAGTCAAACAAACGGACAGTCAAATACTTACAAATCTTTCCAAAGCCCACTGCCTAGACACACAGCAAGAAACATGAATGGAAACAGACTGTAAGAGCAAAGAGACCGTGTGCCCCCGACTACGATTACCTGGAGGTAGGAATTGCAGTTGGTTATTAGCTAACCGGAGATGACGCAAAGCTCTCAGACGACCAATTTCTGGGCAAACGATTTCTAAGGCATTGTCGCTAAGATCCAAACACTGGAGTTTTATAAGGGATCCAATGGCTTCAAAGAGAAAAGGAGCGGAAAGGCAAAATCAATTTGACCCAAGCGTTATGCCAGATCTTTAACGCAAGAACTCCAAGTTAAAATACTTGCATACTTAGTATCACCATCTCACAATGTACTACTAGAGTTGCTCCCTAAATAATAAAAACATACATGAAACTAAATTTTATGGAGGTGATAAGACTTCTACCTCTATATGAAATATGACTTTAAAAAAAACACAAATCAACATTTTTAAAACAATGCAAAATACCGCTTGAATAAAAAAATAAATTCATGAAACAATATATAAGGATGTTTTCAATCGAACCGAAATTCTTAACTGGATTTACTGAATTTAGAACTTGTCATTTTGTTATTTACCCAACAACAATATATCTAAAAATAATTTATCTAATCATTATAACAATTTTGGACTCTATTAATGTCATTCAGTCATAATTCTTAACTGGATTTACTAAACTGGGGGAAGAATCTGTGAAACAAATAAATTAAAGATGGTTTATAGTTAAAACTCACCAATATACCAACCATAATAGGTTTAAAGACACTATCTGTTCTACTATTAAAGGAAAGCTAAACTATAGTCTCTCCTAACTAAAAGCTGGAAGTGCGCTTACTTACCTTCTGGAATCACAACTATGTTATTTGAATGAAGGTACCTGGGGAAAATACCAAAAAAAAAAAGAGAAAAAGCTGTTGTTATTCAGAACTTCTGCTACAGAATGTGTTTGTAAAATGCTCACTTAGAAATTTATCAAATATAAAGGGACCAAACTTTCTTTAACGCCCTATTCTAAGTACATAACACAAAATATACTGTCATCACAGATAAATAATAATACTTTGAAATATTTTATGCTGGGATTGCAAATATTAAAACTATTTATTGATTTAATTGCTATTTTGTTTTATTTTTTTGTTTTTTAATATGTATTTTTATTTTATTTTCAGGGCTTTTTTTGTATTTTTGACATTTTCTGTTACAACAAGCAGGATTTTTATCTTGTTTTTTTTAATCCTCCCCTGAGGATATTTTTCCACTGATTTTTAGAGACAGTGGAAGAGAGCGGGAAAGACAGAGAAATATTGATGTAAGAGAAACATATTGATTGGTTGACTCCTGCATGAGTCCTTGACCGGAATCAAACTCAGGACCCTTTGGTCCCCAGGCTGACGCTTTATCCACTGAGCCAAACCAGCTAGGGCTTTCAGTGCTATTTTAAAATAGAAGAAGCTACACAAAAGAAAAACTAGAGGTATTTTTTCAACCTCATAATACAAACTAGTTCCCTACTTCGTTTTAACTTATTCAGGTTTTCAGAGATACAGTTATGGTGTGAAGAAAAGTCAGCACTTATTGTGTACAGGAAAATGCAACTTTTCGTTTCTAAAGGATAACGGCACAAAATAATCAAACCAGAGATATCTCCAGTCAGCAAGCACGCTTACTGATAACCAAGAATTCTGGAGAGATTAAATACTCATCATTTGTAGTATCTGTAGAAATACGCAACTGTCAAGGCACAGAATTTATTTGACAGCAAAATGAATTTCATAAACAAGGATCAAATTCTTTTCATAAAAAAGAAAAAAGTTCAAGGCTGACAAATCCAGGCGAAGTGTCTGCAGCACCCTCTGGTGGAGATTTTATACAATCACAAGCAGCCCACTAACATCAGAGTAAAACAATAAGGACCCCTGGAGATCATACAGTAATAATTTTTAAAAGAAATTTATAGCATTGATTTTGAGACAAGAAAACTAGATTTTTGAAAACTTTATTTTCAAACCTATCCTTTTTTTATTGTACTCCACTAACCAATCTTCATAAAATCTTTAAAAATAGAATTTCAAAATATTCTTCTCCATTTTAAAGTCTAATATCAAGTGTGACACAGAATAGGAAAGATAGAAAATAAACTTAAGAAGATTATTCTATGCTGGACTAAATTAATTTTGAAGTAGGTATTAACCTGCTGGGTCTAACACAATTTAAATCATAATTACACGAGTCCATGTTCCTTGTTTTGTGTACATAAAATGATTCCACATTTTATTTTTTCTTAAAAATTTATTTGTACTGATTTCAGAGAGGAAGGAGGAGGGATAGAGAGCTAGAAACATCAATGATGAGAGAGAAACACTGATGGGCTGCCTCCTACACACCCCCTACTGGGGATCCAGCCCGCATCATTGATGTTTCTCTCTCTCTCCCTTTTCCTTCCTCTCTGAAATCAATAAAAATATATTAAAAAAAAAAAAAAGAATCATTGCTGTTAGAGTGGATCAGAGAGCAGGCTCTTCGCCTTTAGAGCCATGTGACCAGAATGACTTAACCTCTCGCTTTCTCAGTCTACAGAAGCAGATGGCAATAGTACCAATTAGAACATAGATGTGTAAGAGATAAATGAATCAACATATGCAAAGCTCTCTGAATGGAGTTCAATGAATGCTATTGTTATTGTGTGAGAATTATTATTATGTCGTGAGTCATTTGTAATCATAAGCTTTAAAGTCTAGAGAAGTTGAAATGGTGTTTTCGAGTGACTAAGTGTTCATCGTGTTCATAACACAGGGACTCTCATTCATTGCTGGTGGGAGCGCAAGCTAGCACGGCCACTTTGGGAAATGGTGTGGCAGGGTGTGTTTTTTTAAATAAAAATTAAGTATAGACTTTACTTAACAGTAACATGCCAATGTCAGTTTTTCTGTTCTGACACATGTACCAGGGCATTGGGAGACGCTAACAATGGGAGAAACTGGTTGAAAGGTACAGTGGGCCCGGCCGGCGTGGCTCAGGGGTTGAGCATCTATCTATGAACCAAGATGGCACCAATTCGATTCTTCGTCGGGGCACATGCCTGGGTTGTGGTCTCCATCCCCAGTGGGAGGCGTGCAGGAGGCAGCCGCTTGATGAATTTTCTCTCTCATTTCTATCGCTCTATCCATCTCCCTTCCTCTCTCTCTCTCAAAATCAATAAAAACATGTTTTAAAAAAATAAATAAAACAAAGCATGGAGGATGCAGGTGAGGAAGTTGTTGCCATACATTTTAAATCTTTTATAGTGTTTAAATATTTATATCAAGTATCACATGGCGTAGTGGTAACAATAATAAATGTTGCCAGTTGCATGGACTATCCGGAATGATTCTGTGACAAAGATGCTGGAACCAGAAAACCTGAACTTTTCAGCATCTTCACCACCTTGAAGTGAAATATTGAAAACACAAATTTAAATGGTTGAAATACTTTAAAAGACTTTTGGGCATAGCGGAACCAGAGGTCTACCATGCTCATGATACTAATAAGTTAATAAATGAACATTATATTTCCTACTATTTCAAATAACTTAAAATTATTTTTATCCCTGTTTTTTTAAAAAATTTGAATAAACATACTCACAGTTCCACCAGGTTTGGAAGCTTCTGAGCAAGGTTTTCTGGCTGAAAATGAAAAACTCAGAATTACATTTTATTTTTGAAAAATGTATAAACATCTCTAAATAGCTTACATACAAACCATTATCTTTTTGAGGGCCCTGATCAGGGCGCACGTGGGCGTCGATGTCTCTCTCTCACATCGATGTTTCTCTCCCTCTCTCTCCCCCGCCCTCCACCCCTTCCACTCTCTCTAAAAAAAAAATCAATGGAAAAAATAATCTCGGGTGAGGATTAGCAACCACCACCACAAAAAAAGGAAGTGACATTGTTAATGTCATACTGGGATTCTGATCTATTCAAATACTTAACAACAGTATCCCAAGCTGCTTCCCATCCACCCACCCTCGCCCTTTTATGATGACCAAACAGCGCTGCATGGAACACTGTTCCGAAATCAGTGAAGCATTTACCGAGAACCGGCTCTTAATAAAATCACCTTTAGCTTTCAAATGCCAAGAGCTGTGCTTCTGTCCCTCAGGCTCTGCTGTCACTGTCTGCCATGAGGCCCTTCATGACAAGTCTCTTCTCCGGTGTTACTCCTGGGTCTGTCCCAGCCCCCCAAATGTTTCTATTCGCACCGTTATCTTCCCTAAGAGGAAGGATATACACCCCCACGTATTGGCACCCAACAAAGAATCCTAGAAAAACTAGAGAACTTGTCCAGAAAGCAGGAACGTTGACTCTCATCTAGGTCTGCCTGCTGTCATACCAACAGCTTACCTGGCTAACTCACAGGACCCGTGGTCATCCTTTTTTTCCAGATGCCCACCGGGCTCCTGCACGTCCATTCTAATCTTTCCTTGACAAGCTAGTCGGGTTGTTGCTGTTTTATTTTGAGTCACAAAGCTACACACACACAACTGAGTAATGAATAAAGTTTCTGCTGCCAACTGTGCATCGCTGTGTCTCTATTAACAAGTAAGTACGTTGGGTTTTTATCTTTAAATACGCACAGTGACCTCGGGAAATTGCAATTTCTTACAACACTGGGATTTGGGGGAGAAAACTCCATTTATTAGATTCCGCCCCAAAACCCTGGTAAGCAAGCAGTCTGTTGCCTAGGCTGTGGCTGACACCTACTGGTGTCCTACAATACCGTTCTCTGTTTCCTACCGGCACATGTTAGCGATATAGCCAAGGAATGAGGGGAAAGTTATACATTTTAATTCTTACGTTTCCATGGGGTTTACATACAGTCAGAGACTTGATAACTATAAATTGATAACTAAAAAAGCAAAGGGTGGTGGGCGGGTTCGAGTCCCAGTCAGGGCGCATGCAGGAGGCAACAAATCGATGTCTCTCTCTCTCTCTCTCTGCCTTCCTCCCTGAAAATCAATTTAAAAAACTGTAATTATTCTTTGGGTTGCTAAACTCTGATGCTGGATTATGGATGCCACACAAAATAGTTTATCTTGATCCATAGGATTTATACTAAAAAAAAAATCTATTTTCAAAATCTAACTATGCACTCAAAATAACATACATACCAATATGCTAACCGCTATAAATGAAAGATACATATCGATTTATTTCCAGAAACAGCAAACACAAGCAAATTTTATAATGCTTTCTGCTCCTTGTAGGTATTTTATATAGATCAAGAAAACTTTTAGAGGGAAACAGTCCATTATATGAAGCCAATAAGATATACGTTCAGATGTTTAGCAAAGTCCAATACAGAGAAGGGAATGAAGAATGGATCAATTCACACACACAAAAAAGACACCATAAATGATCTAAAATGAATAAGAACTCAAATTCATATAAAGCAAATCCATTTAAAACGCAGACCAAATTTCTTAATAAATAGTGAGAATGAAAAATCTGATTTGAACATTCTCTTGAAAATAATTACAAATAGTTTTCTAAAATCTTCTATGTCATAAAATTTAGGTTATAATGATAACTATGTGCTTATTCCTAGAACATAAAAAGAGTGAATCAGATGTTGCTTTGGGGGCAAAACTTTTTCCGACAAATGAGATGATAGCTGGATTCAAAATCATTAATGATCACAGTGCAATCATTTAAAAGGTTTTTTGCTTTTTCAAAACACTCAAAGGGCTACATCAGGCTTCCCAAACGCCCATCTTAATATTTTAATCTTCAAATCATTCTTTTTTAAAAGTCATTCTTGTTGGTCTTCCCCTTCTTTACTTTTTTAAAAATATATTTTTATTGATTTTAGAGAGAGGAAGGGAGAGGGAGAGAGAGAGAAACATCCATGATGAGAGAGAATCATGGATCGGCTGCCTCCTGCACGCCCCCTACTGGGGATGGAGCCCACAACCCAGGCACGTGTCCTGATGGGGAATCAAACCGTGACCTCCTGGTTCCTAAGTGGAGGCTCAGCCACGGTCCCACACCAGCTGGACTCTTCTTTACCTTTTAATTGATCCGTTCAATATTGTAACATCCAAAAGATCATCTAGGAAGCTTAACGCACACGCAAAAAGTCACAGGCCAAGACACAGGCACAGGCTAAGCAAAGAGGGGTTTTGAATGGGGGCAGTTTGGTAAGTGGGACATTTGCGAATATTTT